TACGACAATCACCAGAGCTGGCTCGTGAGAGTAAATATCTGAAGAGCGATACGCGTTACCTCTCGGAAACACGCATTTATAATTCGAGATAACGAACTTCTATCTAGGCCCAAAATAACAGCTTCATTCTTCTCTTTCTCGGGGGCCTTGATGCGTCAGATTCTGGGCACGTGAGTGTTGGTATTACTTGAAACACTATGGTCGAAGCTGCACTATTGGATTGGACCCCGATAGATAGCTAGGTACACTGAACCCCAAAGGTTCATATAACGTGTGCAAGCAAAACTCAAACGAGCAGTGCTTCTTGGAGTTGCTGCATGTTTGCAGACATTCTGTGACCGGGGCGCAGTGTCAAAGATAGCTTCTACTATAATCTACATGATGTTCTTTTCAAAGCCTCAGGGACGGATACCACGATTGGGGCCGGAAACACAAACGCTCCGGCAGTTTTTTCCCTACATTCTCGGGATTCGTTTTTTATGTCTCTTTATTTAAATCATAATTCCCGTGCATCCAGAAAGATTGGGCTTTACTTTTTCTTCATAGGCGCTCCTTCACTACTGAAATGAAACCAAATTTTGAGTACTGCATTCACATTCGGCATGAAGCTTTTGCCGCTTTCTAGTCTCTCTTTGCCAGCCATTTTTATTCCTAAACCATTTCTATTCACCCCCTCAACCAATAAATAAGCAGCAAACCACCTTGCGAAACGACTGTTCGGAATGACAGCATTTCTGGTTTTTCAAAAGTCGCTAAGCCGTTACCTTTGTCACCTTTTTCTTATCATTTTCATGGATTCAAGCGCAGAATCAACATACTGCATTTTACGTGACGTTTGTATCACACTCCTTTTATTTAAGGTGCAACATGCTCGACAGATATCGCCATATCTGGTCTATCTGTTCCGCATGTATGCGTGCTTGGTAGCAGGCATTGGTTACTTGTAGCATTCAATTTTTCTTCCTTCCTTTTATGGCACAGATTCCACCAGGATTATCAATATCCTGGTGTTACTTTTGTAGAAAAATCCACAAACTTTGGTTACGTCAATATCAACTCCGGCGAAGTTTGTTCACTGGAGTTCAGTGCTACACCTTCAGTCGCTAAGCTTTTCGTCTTCATGCACTCTCAAACACGTCAGGCCTGACTTCCGGTACTCTTGATGGAACAACATGCTTTCCTTGAATAACTAACTGTTCCTGATATTTTCCGGGTTGGTGAGATTCATGGAATATTAGAGGTAGAGCCACTTCCGCAAACCGTGAAATAAGCCACTTTCAAGGGGCTTTAGATTATTACTGCAGTTTATGCTTTATCATGTCAAAAGTGCTTTCTTTAGGTCTTTGAGGATTTTCTGGTGATTGGTTTCTAATACTAAACAGAAGTAACGGTAATCATGCACATGTTTTGAGGTGCGCGCTTCTAATCATGAACGCTCGGTGAGTGAAACGACAAGGACAAAATAGCAAAGTAAATGCAACCAATTTAGGTAAAACGTCTATTGAGACGTTGAATTCCAAAGGGTTGAAAAACCGCTGAATCGATAGTCCAAAACTATCACATAAATCGATAAAATATTTGGATTACCCCAAAACCTTAACTATCCCTCAAGTCTTTAAATTAAACAAGGTCGAGATTCTGATTAGAATGCTTTCTTCTAAGTTTGTAACTTTATCGCGATTTAAAGCTCGATGAATTTGATTCATGCCATGTAGATATCAACCACCAAGCTAGTGTAAATGGCGATAAAGATTGTCGTTCGAAAGTTAACCTAATCATTCTAAGTTAAATTTCCAAAGACAGAGTTGGCTGAGAAAAAACAGTCAAATTGCTATATTCAGCACTATTTCGTGTGCTGAAGTAACGCTACCGATAACCAAACCCTCTTCTAACCCGTATTTTCTGGCTGCCTGTGTTTGTTACCAGTTGGCACCCTTAGTTTCAGTGGATTGTTAGTACTCCTTTCAAATAGGTTTGTTTGTTGTATCCTAAATAAAAACGTGATACGCTAACGGGAAGCAAAGAATAGCAGGCGTAATTTTGTTACGGAGACCGACATGCTAAACTGCACATGCATTGACGGCACATTGAAACTCATTGACACTGAAACGTAAAAACTAACTTCACCACAATTAAACACAAAACAATCGCATAGCTCAGTGAACGAAAACCCAAAATGATCTGATAGCATTGCATAAAAAGGACGCTAAGACAGTCTGTGTTAAAGGAACTCACGAGGATGTGTCAATTGGATTATCCGGCATAAAATTACTGAGCGCGTTCTTTAAAATCCAAAAGCTGTAGTTAAGATGCCCAGCCAAACGATCATCATCCATTTGCTGAGCACCATTGAATGCCATTTGTGAGCGAACATCAACCAAAAACTTGCCACCGTAAGGCAAAAGGAAAACCTCTAATGATGCACGGTAACAAGTGCCATCCATCTGTCGTTGCGTCTCTTCCAGGTCGCTACAACTGATGACCTCAGGCTGTCAAACAATATTAAAATAAAAATCATTGAAGGGTAAAAACGACCGGTAAATAATATATTGCATCTGATACAAAGTACACTAACTCTTTTGAAAAGTATTGAATAAATCGGTAGAAATGTCAATGCATGAAATGACCACCATAGCACAAAGTATTAATGCTCGAAGCTTCAAATGGTCCCGTGAAATATACCCTTGTAGTTTACCCACATTTCGATAGGGAACGAGGCTCTTCGAAGTACGGTATGCGCATGTCATTTATCTATTGTAGATCCCAATCGTAGAACCACACTACAATCACCTCACAAATCTTACTATGCATCCGTCACATTTGATTTGCAATAAACGGGTTTACAGACACTGGTCGAAGACGGGGACGCAGATGACATTTATGGAACTTGATAACCCAAATTAAATTCCCAATGAGATTACTTGCTGGGAGGCTTTTGATTCGTCTTAGTGGTCGTGCGCTAAAAGGTCGTCGTATCATTAGGCTCTTTATTGAAGTCATATTGATAGCAGTTGCCTGTTCATGTGTTGCAGTGCTTTTTGGAGCAGACACGTTCTCAGAACAACCGAAAGACTGGGCATCTATGGTAGTTAAGAAATCTTTGTGTCACACGTTAGAATAATAAACAATGTGTGAAATATCATTTTCAAAGTGACACGGAGATCAGTTATGGAGACCGCAATACTCAATCCTTAGCCAACTGGGAAATACTACCATATCCGCGGTAGAGCAGAACAACAGTAAGGCTTTCCACCAGCAAAGATAAATTTTGGTGCTAGAGTTCGAATTTTATGGCTCAGAGAGCACCAATTAGGGTAATTTAGATTACTTGGCCAATATTGCGGTCTCTGTCTATAGCATTTTATTATTGACTCTCAAGGATTGTTCTAGCCCTCATCTGAGTGTCATGATGGTTCGAAAATAGGAAAATAACACAATACCCGATTGATGCGATAAGACTTGACGGTATAGCTTTGATGTCTTTTCTAACAACAGACTGCCGAAACCGAACTACGAATTTCCCGAATTAACGTACGCATTACCCTTAATGAGGCCCGTTGGACAAACTTTCTTGAAACATCAAACACCTTAGACGTTGAATCATCCAGGGTGTGTGTTATCTCCCGCTGGCCTGCTCGACGGGACTTTATGAGAAGACCAGCAAACATATTTGTTTTGGCTACTCGCCTTTCGTTTAGTAATGACCAGTTTTGTTTTGCCGTCCGTGGTGGAAAGGTAAACACTGTCAAGTCAGCTAGAGAAAATTCTAGGAACTACTTAAGAAACCAAACTTCTTCAAAGTTAAGCGTATTCCCCCTAGTTAAGTCGAATTTCTATCCAAGAATGGATCTCAACTCTTAGGGACTTAACTCATACCTAGAACTTAAAACCATACACTCAAATAATCATTAAAGAGCGGTTCCTATAATCCACTCCTTCAGTCCAACAGCTGTAGTTAATGATGATATAGAAGAGATTTTATCAATTAGAGCGTGATACAATCATGTGGTTTTGGAATTGGTGCGTCGAATAGTCTCACCTCTGTGGATGCATTCCATGATGCTGAACGGTCAAATGAAGTGAGCGGCAGCCACCGAACATCGGGGTGCAAATGATCGCTGTTCATGTAAAAGTAAATTGAAAACACTATTGGCGTGGAGTCCATATACAGAACAGAGGCTTCTCTTTTCATTTTTGGATGCCAGTATAACTTATCTGAAGACCAGGAATCCAGGCGAATCACTAACTGGGCGTACCTCGTATTTCCTCTGAAGCATTCACTGGAACAGTGTCCCGGTGCACCTGCAAGGTGTGACGCCGCGGAGCTTCACTCAGTAAATAGGGTGAGAACAAATACCTTCAATAGTGACGTTCACACTTGAAGTGGGACCGCATTTATATTCACCTTCATCTTGCTCCCGCAGATCAAGGATTTCAANNNNATGTGCATCATGAATTATATACTTTCCTCTTCTAAAAAACACTCTTTTGAATAAGCATCGACGGACCTTGGTTCGATTGCTGTGCTGTTGTGATACCAATTGATGACTCCGGAGTCCACAACGGGACATGTTAAAACGACCGACTGATACATTTGAGAATTAGCCAGCATGAGTGCTTCTCGGATTTGAAAGATAATCCACAAGTATTCCACTAAGAATCTAGTGTGGAGCATGTCATAAAAGAAGTCGCATGTGTTCCGACATTCGTGAGCAGCTACAGATTCAATGTTGCTGTCAAGGTCATTATTGAGTTTTCGCGCTAACGAGAACCACGAACAATACAAGGTCAGGTCAGTCCAAATTCAAAGTGAAATCATTGGATAAACGGAGCCCTTCACCTGTTGGACATTCCGATAATGGTGGGTTCCCTCCGCGGACCGACACGCCTGCAAGTGTGATACATCTTCCGACTCATCACCAAAGGGAGTAATGTTCAGGTCAGTTTACATAGGACGACGTGTGGCCCGGGCCAATTGTGCGTCCACATGGATGTAATGTTGGCTGATCTTGTGGATTCCAACTCTGCGAGTCAATAGATTCCGTCTGAAAGGCAGAATGTGAGGTACAGTATCACGTCCTAGGGAATCGAGCTCAGGACTAATATATACTTACATTAAAAATGTTTCAAGGAACGTAGAAGACCAACAGTCATCTAATACCCTCTTACAGGCTACAACGTTCCAGACACTTACCACATCTTACGGTACACTATTCCAGTAAGGTATAACGCGATTTATAAAGAACATGAATCCATTTGTAGTGACCACGATTGTACGAAGAAATCGAGCAATCCACGAGGACGTTTTCCGTTCTTATTTTCTTCACAATCAACTCTGACTCCAACTGTGATATTTCTTTGTTTTAATTCCGCTTGTTTTACTGAGCACCGTTTTCCGCTCAGGTGTTTATATAAGCTGGGTCCTGTTCAAACCCACGCAACGCGTGTGACACGCTTTCGCTTTGCCTCTACATTTATTGCTTGCATTGTTTAGCGTCACCTCAGCACGTTTCGCCACTATCTAGTACCACGATTCGCCAGTAAACGTTTACGAATCCCACGACGGTTTTCGTCTACATCGAGCAACGAGA